GTTGATATGCATGATAAGAATGGAAATGTGTGGGAATAAGAGAATGTGATTTACTGAAACTCCAGGGTATTAAAAAGGTTTGTTAAAGGTGTATGGGATATAACTTTTGATATGACTGGTTATCAAAGGACACTTCATCAATACGACATGCTTCTTCTGTCCACCAGACTCTCAGGACAGCGGCTCCCTCTGCTTCTGTTTCCGCTGGCTGCTCATCTGGTTCAAGAGAGAGTTCTCCTTCGAGGACATCCTCACCTTGTGGGAGGTGAGAGCGCTGCAGCTGCACACACAGGACGAGTGTGATGACGTGCTCAGACGTCTGCAGGACAGTCAGTTGTGGCTCTATTGCTGCAACCTTCATGGTGTTAGGCCTCATACTGGGTCGTGACATTATATCCGACAGTAATCAGGGAATCTTTTCCATTTTAGAGGGGAGTGATTGGTAAAGTTGTGGTACTGCTCTGGTTGATTGATCCAGCCAAAAAACTGTCATGGCTGACCAGGAGCCTTTACTCCAAAGGATTACATTACAAATGACATCCAATCAAAGATCTCGTTTTGGTCACTGTTGTAAAATCTGTATAAAAACATTCTGGAAACGAAAGCTTCAGAATGAGACCTTTTAATAAGGTCAGAGCATTTTGATGATCAATAAAAGTTGTTTCCTACTTGCTCTCTTAAGGCCACCAGACTACATTGACAGAAATATACATTATATATTGCCGAGTGATGGTCTTCCTCTGCCTACACTTGTCAGTCATTTAGTTAGTTTGTTGTGTTAGAGCCAAGCTAGAAGCTCTAAAAGTCACACAGCAATACAACTGGATAGGGCAGCAACAGACGAGTCACTCCTGTATTATGTAAGTGTTAAGTAACCCCTTAGAGTATCTTAGTTTCAAGCTTCTTTCTTTCTTTTTTTTTTTCTTCCTCAGGTCCTCTGGAGTCGACTCCCATGTGACAACTTCCACCTGCTGATCGCCTGCTCCATCCTGCAGTCCCAGAGAGGAGAGCTGATTGGCTCTGACCACGACTTTAACACTATCCTGAAGGTGTGTTCCATGTATATTTTTATTTTAAATATATTTTTGTGGTTAAATAACAGTTTGTCAGTGTATTTTGAGGCATGCATTGATACACTTCATCCATAACTTGACACGTTTCCCGGGTCTGTGAAATCTCCTCAGCACATTAACGAGTTGACGATGAAGTTGGACCTGCAGACTGTTCTGGTGGGAGCCGAGGCGATTTACCTGCAGCTGATTCAGTGCAAGGTGAGAGGCGTTCAAAGGCCAGAAAGGCTCAACATAGAGTGTCGCAGTCTGGAGTCACAGTGGGTTTGTTTGGTTAGAAGTGTACCATTTTATTTTGAAAGTTCAAGCGAGAAAAAGACCCTTTACGTTCTGTGAGCTGTTTTCCAGATTGAAGAAACGTCTTAAGTAGTTTTAAGAACAATCAGGGTATCCCGCCCCATTCTTATTTTCTATTAGCACTGCAGCTTCTTACACTGCTGTTTAGAAAGACATTTGAGCTCCTACTTCATCAAGAATCTTTGCTGTTAAAAATATCAATAAAGGCTTTTCCTTTAGCGTGCTGTTAACCACTTCGTCTCACACCTTCCTCCCAGCAGTGATTTTAGGCATTCAAAAAAAACTATATAAAGTATTCTGTAGATTCTTAGGGTCTTGTTTTGAGATCATAAAGAAACACATTTTTATCTATTGATTTTGGTCTGTAAGGGTTTATGAACGTTTGATCAATGCTGGCGTTTTAGGAGTATGCTAGCTGTGTTTTAGTTTTAAAAAATCAGGAAATGTACTCAGAAGAATACCCTAGAATAGAATTCTGATTCTCAGGTGATGGAAGCTCTTCAAAATGCGTCATATTTCTTGCATGAATATGACAGCAGGGTTTGCTGAACTTCTCCTTTCCTCCTCTCATCCCCAGGAGCTTCCCCTGAAGGTGCTGCAGGTTCTGGGTCTCTACGTCCCGTCCAGCTCAGAGGAGGACAGTCCCGCCTCCCAGGCCAGCGAGACGACGCACCTCCTCAGCAGCCAATCAGAGGCATGCGCTGCTTCTTGTAGCTCAGCACACGTCCCTACCTATCCTTAAAAACGGCAGGCTGGCTGGTGAATTGACACAAACGATTGGAAAGTATTTATATATGAAGACAATAAATGCATATGATCAAACGAGAAAGTGACTGTCTGTGAAAAACTGTTGTTACTGTTTGTCAACAGCAGGGGGCGTTGAAGTTTTTTTTTTTTCCCTTTTCTTTAAATGTACCCACGAATGTTACCGTTGTTGAAACACCATGACAGCGTGCAGTGCTCTGTGTCTTTCATTATGTTGTCCTCTGTGTTCACATGTCTCTGATGAAGATGACTGCCATTCTCTCTGCTCTCCTTCCTCCTATTCATGCTGCTCTTTTACCTTCTTCTCACACATTATTTAATCATAGCTGCCTGTCCTTTTTGTCGCAACGTACTTTGGTTGAGATGTCCCTGACGCCCCCCCCCCTCCATTGTACCTGCAAAGGGAAGAAATTAAGGATGAACTCTCCTTGTTAGTACTGTATGATGCCATTCCAGCTCTATGCAAAGTTTTTGCATGCCTTATAGTTTCCATGAGTGGCGTTACATTTTAAGCCTTGTAATTATCTGTATTATGACTTAACGTTTTCATCCTCTCATTATTACGTAATAAAAGGTTGAATCTAAATGAAGAAGAGTTTGTCAAATGTATTTTTTCTCTTCTGTCTTTCTCGGGCGATTTTCTTCCAGCCAGGATTTAAAAAATACATAGACAGTAGTCTGTCTCTTTAAAATGTAAAGCTGCCTCATTGATAAATATAAAAAGAAATATTGGAAAACTCCTCCCCTTTCCTTCATTGGTTGAAAATATTTGTAGTTGCTGTTGAGAAAAGTAATTAAACTACTTGAATAAATCTGCAAATATTGATGTAAATAAAAAATGAAAACAAAAAAACAATGCAAAATGGCAACATCAGCTGTTTTCACTAAAAAAAATAGAAAATTTCAGGGCAGCCCACCCCTTTTTATTTTTATTTTTTGAGGAGGCGGGTCTCAGGAGGCAAGACATGAAGTGAGGCAGAGTCTGAGTGTTTGCCTTCATGTCACTGCTTTGTGTTATTTGATGTTTCCTCAGTAAAGAGAGTGTAAAAGAACCGTCTGTCGATCATAAAAGAGCATGAAGCAGCTAAAGAAATATAAACATCATCACAACTTTCCTGGCTTTTAGCTGCAACCTTAATACATTAGATCATTCTGACTTCATGCAGAACATTAAGGGGTGCTGGCAGGAAAAGATCAGGCAGCTCACAGATGCAGCTCACCATTAAAACTTATCCCCAAATTCCAACTAGAAACCACGTTAAGTTTTTCTCTAAATCTAGACTAAAGACCTTTGATGTTTTGTTGTCTGTTTGAGATGCTTAAAAGGTTTTTGTGGCCTCTGAAACTCACATCTGAGTCCATAAAAACACTAAAGTTTTTAACTCTTAGTTTTGTCTTTTGAGAAACATCTTTGATTAATTCCTTAATTTTGCAAAAACAATGAAAATTTCCTTCTCGTCATTGTAGATATGATCATCGTGGAACATTTTAACCAAAGCTTTTATTTTTCAGTGTTGTACGCTAAACATTTCAGGATTCTTCACATCTACTTTTGTCTTTCAGATTGTCTTTGTGCTTCAGATACATTATTTCATGTTTACATTGACTGTGGATGATTAATGAGGTTGATGACAGTTAAGTCATTCAAATGAAATCTGAGGAAAAGCTCAAGTATAATTCACACACTTCTTTAATCAAACACATACAAGGGTAAAGACGAAATGATAATAAAGTGTTATTTGGGAGGACAGTTGTAAAAAAACTGTAATTGTTTTAAGTGTAACCGTAACAAGTGTTTGTTTATGTGATGTGGTGTCCTAACTTGTGAACTGGTTAAACTTTGGCCTCCCCCCTTCCTCCCCTCCTCCTGCCAGCAGGTGTCTGTGTGAGGTGAATGGCTGTGGGGAAAATAGGACCTCTGTTCTCCACTGTCCCGGGAAATGAGCTGGAAAATGAGGGGCGGGGGAGACACACCTCCTTCTCAGGACCTGCTGCACTCTTCTCTGTCTGCCCGTCGCTGTCTCTGTCCCCCTCGATACATGTTGTTTGAATACAGCTGGGACGTATGAATTTAGTAGGGCGCTTAAACAGGCCGACGATCTGTCACTGTGTTTCTCTTAAACCCCCACCCTTTACATCTCCCTCTCCATCCACCCCAACCTGACCCCCAGAGCCAAAGTCACTCCGTCCTTCATTCAAACTCAATCTGCTTTCAGCCCCTCTCAAAGCCTGCTTCAGAGGCGAGGTCCTTGTCGACAGCTTTAAACCTCATATTCTCTCACTAATGCTACAATCGACTGCATAGTGGAGGATTACGTCCTCTTCATCTTGTCATTAGGTCAGATGACTCAAAGAAGCAGATTTAAGCCTCTGGTTTGTTTTTGAGTACCAGGAGGAATAGGAGTTATCAGATCATTTACTGAAGTTAAAGGATTAAGACACACTGTGAAAAAAAGTGCTGCATTCAAAGCTTCACTTAAAGCTCCTGTGAGGAGTTTCAACTGGTTATGAAACGTCCTCAAACTGATAGTGATGCCTTTACATGAGTCCTAAAGGCAAATAAGACGGTCAGCGATAAGATTGATATTTCCATCTAGTTATTTGTAATGTTTGTAACCACTGCTGCGGGGAAGGTGTCAGACAAAGTGAATAACAGCACTCTGCAGAAACAGACATTAACCCTGTTCAGACTGTTGTTTCAAGCCACAATGTTTACACCCATGTGAAATTTTGCCTTCACTCTGATGTGCAGAGGCGTAATGGGGGGGGGGTGAAGCAATCTCAGATGGATTCTTTGGCCTGACAGTTTTTGTTTTGTGTGTTGTGCAAAATAAGGAATTTCAGCTATGCAGCAGAAAGTGAGCCCATATGGCAGAAGAGCTGCTGTTCTGTTTATGTACTGTGACCACATTCACCAATGAAAACTGTGATGTACAAGACTTTTAGCTCTCATTTATGGTCTCTTTATTTGACTTTAAGGTTGGATTTTCTCCATGTAAAACATTTTGTTAATGTACAACCTCTCTGCTGGCTTTAGCTGATCATTTTGGACTTATTAAAAAAAAAAACAAACACTAAGGACATGGCATTCAATGACTGATACACTTGATTGTTTTTTGTACATTTTCAGTCATACTGAATTGATTGAAAGTGTGTTTGTCTGTTTGGTAAATATTACTAAATAAAAGAAAGATTTACTGTATACAATTCATCTGTTCCTTTTTTTTGTAACAGCCCATCATAATTCAGTTCCATCTTTGACAATGATGCATGTTATAAAAACCTGAGATGTCATATATGGTGGTATAAAACTTTTCTGCATCATAAATACCTTTTTGGTTTACTTTTTCAGTAAATATAGCTCAGAATTATTTAGTATTTTTAGTTATTTGCATTTTCTCATACTGAACTTTCACTGAGGAAGTCCTTTATTCATGCACTTCAACGTTTTCATTTCTACTTGAATGAAAACTTTGGATTCCTTCTTCCACCAATGTGAAATATAAAAGAACCAGTAACAATAAAGGATGCTTGTTTGAGATGACTAATTTTAATGATTTATTGAGGATCTATTAGAAACAGTTTCTATGTTCTGCTCAAATATCATTCAATGATTGAAGTTAAGTTTCTTAATTTTGTCTTAAAAACTTTTAAATCTGACCACGGCTGTACTCTGAGCCCTAGCTGCATGTTGAATAGAGGATGAATAATTGATGCTCAGCTTCAGTCATGGTGTCCGTGTGCTCGTCCATTTAACTCCTATTAGAAACATGAGCTGCCATTGAAGCCTTAATGTGTGAAGAGCCACCTGTAATGACTGTCAAATACAATCTGTGTTCCCTCTCACAGCTGAGTGCGACCCCATTGTGACCGGCAGAGGAGTCCCCGGAGAGCGTGTGAAAAGTGTGTCTACCCTTAGTGTGTGTGTGTGTGTGTGTGTGTGAGAGGGGGCCAGCAGCAGGCAGAAGGCCAGGAGCTGTTGTCTGACACTGATTTGTAAAGGGAGACAATACGGCTCATTGACCTGCCCAGCTCCACTGTCTGTTGCACATACCTCGCCCAGCCCACCGGCCCTCCACGCTGACTTCACTGCTCTTTAAACACGAGCAGCAGATTGCCACAGGCTCTCGAGGAGGGACGGGTGGTGGTGGTGGTGTGGTGGTGGTGGTGGTGGTGGTGGTGGGGGGTTGGTTTGACAATGACAAAAACTTTCATGAAAACAATACAGAAAAAAAACATGTTTAAAAATCCTCACAAGAATATGAAGCTCAGTATCTGTGACATCTTTAAACCCATTCTCCAAATTTAGTGTTCAGTATTTTAGTGTCCGCTTAAAACTTTCTGAAACAAGGCGGGGCTTAACCTTTTAGGATTTCAATTCCTTGAAAGCATAACTAAATCTTTCGCCTAACCCTCATCACAAGTTTAAAACTATTAAGTAAGGCAACAATCCATTACTTTTTTTTCTCCACAGTTCTCAATTGAGTTGTTGATCGCTTGAAATTGATACGATTTTGAAATTGTTTGGCTTTTGAAAAAAATTGACCAACATAATTTCCTGGAGCCCGTCTTACACCTTCGAATGATTTGTTTTGAACATTTTCCCGACGTTAAAAGCTCAAACAACAATACAAGTAAGCACGTCTTGGTGATGATTACACAGTCACAAATATTGTTAACCAAGTGAAGTTACTGAATACATGATGGTTTAAAATGAATGAGCATCACATGTGTGCGTGGGGGATATTTACAACATCCATCCAGAGTGTGACATCTCTTCTCTGCTGCTCACGTTGTAAACAAACACGCATCCTTTTGTAATCCATTCCCATTGTCAGAGTCTGGATGTGACCTTTTCTCTCCTCTCACCCCTCACACCCTTTTTCTTCCCCCTCCCTTCTCTCTTTCACTGTCGAACACAAGCTGTTGCATCGTCCCTGCGGGCCACTCCCTCACTTGTCTGCCCCCCATCGCTCTGATTCCCTCTCCCTCTCCCCACCTGTTGGAGCAATTGTTGCATTCTTATTGTTGTCTTCTTATTATTTTATGTCACTCACGAGGGTCCCCGCCTCTCTTTCTACAGGCTTCCCCCCCCCTCCCTCCTTCCCTCTGTGATGACACTCCTCCTTTTTTCTCCACCCTGTTGGTATAAAACTCTGAGGCCGACGTGGAGGAGTGACATTCAGCCGAGAACCGCAGGAGGTCAAAAACTATTTCCAAAAACAAATCTCCCAGCTTCCCTCGGGTGACAGAGGGACACAAACTTCAATCTTTCTTTTTCATTTGGAAGTAAGCAAGTTCAGATTTTACCCAGAAAGCTTTGCAAATGGACCAAGGTGGAAATATGTCTCTGTGGTGTGAGGAGGATGATCAGAACCAGACTGAGGCACAGAACCAGCTCCAAATCAGGGGTTCGGCTCAGCTGCGGGCCGCCTGGGACCCCATCGTGTCGGGGCACCGTGTGATCCAGAGGCTGCTGCATGTAGAGGAGAGGTACATGCCCTCCATGCTTTACATCAGCATCATCCAGAGGGACCCAGAGCGCCGGGAGGAGCTCGCTAAATGGGCCCTGGAGGTATGAAACACACTTTTGTACTTCACTTTGTCTTTGGCTGAGTTCAGTAACCTCTGTAACTGATATCTCTAATCTCCACCCCCCCCCTCTCTTCAGGTGTGCTGTGAGTGCAGCTGTGACGAGGCTGTCTTCCCCCTGTCTGTCTCTCTGCTGGACAGGTTCCTGTCTAACTCTCTCTCCATACCCGTCTCACCCTACTGCCTCGCTGCCGGCTGCATCCTCATCTCCTCCAAACTCACAGAGTGTGACAATGTGACCGCCGACACGCTCTGTGCTGCGGCTGAATACAGCTTCCAGGCTTCAAACCTGCTGGTGAGTCAGACACTCAACACTCTGGGCTGTTTTAGTCCTAAAAGTCAGGGCTGTAATGGAGTTTTTCTTTGACTGTCTGTGATCCTTCCCAGTTACTGCTACCTCATTTCACACAGACATTTAACCTCACTTTTAAGGACATTCATTGTAAGCTCGCAAACTCAGTTGAAACCTCAATTTTAGAAAGTAGAATAAACTTCCCCACCTTTTCGTAGTGTTATTATACATTATGCTAATGAAAAAAAAAATATTTTTATTTTTTGGATTATTGTGCAGCCGTATCACATTACATTACAAAATATAACTCCTAATCCCACCTGTTTTTCCTCCTGTAGGAAATGGAGCGTGTCATCCTCGCCACCCTCCGCTGGGACACGGCAGCAGTGACACCTCAGGACTTCCTCCCACATTTCCTCATCTCACTGAAGGAAATGAGTGGGGTAGGAGATGGCGGTGAGTCTGAGGGGGAGCTGCTCTCCACACTGCGGCGGCACAGCGACACCCTGGCTGCTATGTGTGCCTGTGACTCTCGCTTTATGGGAGCCCCTCCATCACTTGTTGCTGCAGCCTCACTGAACAGTGCCCTGCGAGGTCTGGGCAACAAAAGCCACTTTCAGCTGGCTGCTATGGGTGAAGCACTTGCAGAGCTCTGTCAGACTGACCTGGTGAGTAGAGATGAACATCTTAAAACCTCTTTATTTGGTTTAAGTTGGTTAAATTTAGAGTTAGGGTTTTTGTAGGGTTTAGAATCACATAGATGCTTTTTTTATTATATGCAAACAGACTTTGCTAGTCGTGAAAAAAGCAGGAAGAATATTGCATTTGTTTCAAAAATGTCTCTGTCTTGCATCCCAGGCAGTGCTGCAGTGCTACAGTGAGATGATCGAGTATGCTCTCAGACAGCGGCTGAGGAGTGGGCTTCAGCAGGGCCCGATGGAGAAAGATGAAGAGGTGGAGACCGAAAGGCCTGGGACGCCCACTGACATGAGAGAAATTGATTTCTAAACACTCAACCAACTATTGCATTGAGAGTGGGAATCAATCAAAAAACTCTCAAGTTCATCAGTCAAACTGATATAAAATCTATTATGACCTCAAAATGCTCTGACATGTTTTTATATTATTGAAATGAGTGATGTTAATTTATCATTTTTATTTATTCATGATGAACTTTTGCATCGATGTGTTTTCCACGTGCCATATTTTATCTATTTCGATTAATTTTATTATAGGCCTAGATGTTTTTGATGCATAATATTTATACTTTTAATTTATGATCCCGCACAATTGTTGACCATTAACATGTTAATTTATTTCATTTTGCCATGTCTTTGTGTTTCTTTATTGATATGATACACAACAAATATATTTTTCAAAGCAATTAAACGTTTTAAACGTTTGTATGTACTTTGCCTCCGTGTATTATTATTATGTATTATTATGTATTATTATGTATTATTATTATTATTATTATTATTATTATTATTATGTATTATTATTATTATTATTATTATTATTATTATTATGTATTAATATTATTATTATTATTATTATTATTATTTATTTTTAGATGATACCTTAAGTTTGGCTTGTAATTTCAAGTGGAAGAATGCTTTCCTTTACTAACGCTGTTAAATAATGAGCTTTTAGGCAGTTGACATGAGCACATTATCTATGATTTCAACTTCTACATATTAAGCCACATTTGTCATCTTTTATACATCACTTTTATTTAAACAACTCACCGATTTAAAAAAAATAAAAAAAATAAAAATGGTCTAAATGTGAGCTCGCAAGTGAAAAATATGTTTTTTCCGATAGTCCATGAAGGTAGCATGTTGGGCTGGTGGCTATATCTGGTGACGTCATTTTTAACCGACAGCAAAAACAGATCGTGCTCGGAGCATAGGATCTGGTGTATTCAACATACCTGTGGTAAGAGACGAGCTTTTCTAAGTCATTTGTGTGTCGGGGACAAACGCTGACATCGTTTTAATATATCGGAACATGTTCACGGGAGGAAAAAAGAGAGATAATGTGAAGCTAGGAGAGGGACAGCTTAGTAAGAAACACGGTAACATTGGAACCTGTTCAGAGCTCACGGAGGGGCAGGAGAAGATTTCACGATCCTGTGAGGATGACCGTAAATGTTCTGGGTTTTTTTTTTCCTTCATAAGAGATATTTGAAGATTTTTTTTAATTACATAAAATGATTTATTCATGACGTCGTTTTAATTCCACAGTCACGCCATCCAAAAAAAAAGGATCCGGATCCGCATCCGTGTTTGTCCCTTTAAAGCTAGTTAGCTCAATAGCGACGGACAAACAATATCATTAAATCTTTATATTTTATATCTAAATATAGATATCTAATAACACGACTACTCCCGCTGCCTTAACATTACAATATTTTTGTTAATTATACCCGAAAAAGAAATGATCAGAATTCTTACTAGGGGTATTTAATAATAATTTTTTAAATAATAATTGAGATTATTTACGTGATTTCTTTGTGTGTTTTTTTTTTAGATATTGTATCTTGAATATTAGAAAAAATGAAAAGATAGTCATAGCAATCTAAATTTTGCAGATGGACAACTGTGACTGATAAAATATGAATGTGGATTATTTCTGGATGAATTATAATGTAGCTCACAAACTGTCTGTATTATTGTATTATAGTATGTTCATATTATGTCCATATTCTTTATATTATCTGTAAAATAGTATAGCATGCTCACTGCACCTTAATCTGTATATTATAATCCTAAGAATACACTTATTTTGTAGCATTACTTATTTATAGCATTTATTTATATTTATTGCATCCCATTAATCCATCCAGATATACCTAATAATTCACTTTTTTTGTCTACATCTGTTAATTTTTTAATTACTGTACATAGCACAGACTCTTGCACTTTCTGCTTATTTGCACTTCTGGTGAGATGCCAAACCTCATTTCGTTACTCTATACTTGTATATGTGTAATGACAATAAAGTTGAATCTCATCTCATCTCATCTCAAACACACACATCACACCAGGAGGACTGACAAAACTACAAATCTGTCATAATGGCTAGTTTTTTTTATTCTGTCATACACATCAGCCTTTTAAAAAAAAAGCTTTTCATAACAGAGTTAATGAAGTGCTCATAATTGTGTGTTTTGCAGGAGGATGAACTTAACACCTGGCTGGCTGCTCCTTCTATCCATCTTCTGTGTTGGGGTCCGGTCGGTGCCTATAGATCGCAATGTAGGCCAAGAGGCAGCTAAAGAGGAGGCGCAAGAGGAGAATGGGGTAATGCCATTTAATGTGTTTTTCAAAATGAAAGGTTCCCTTCAGATGCAGCTTGGTTTGTATAACCTCCCGTGTCTGACTTCTTCCTGTAGGACACTGGCCTGTACTATGACAGGTATCTCAGAGAGGTGATCGAGGTTTTGGAGACAGACCCTCACTTCAGAGAGAAACTGCAAACAGCAAACACAGAGGACATCAAGGTTAGTGTCAAAATGTTAGAAGAGAATAGAATAGAACTTTATTTGTCCACAAAGTGGAAAATTGTCTTCGGCTTCACAAGAATAAGACAGATGACAAACAACACAACATTCTAGCACAGCAGGAGACCAGGAGAGCGCCTGTAGTCCTCGACAACATCACAGTCAGCATGGTTCTTGAATTTAAAATAATAATTTAGTATAATAATAAGCCAGAGTTTGAATACATTTCATAAAGTTATAGGTTTAAAAACAGTAATTTCATAAAACAATGTGCAGTTAGAGTTGGAGGGTGGGTCATTTTCTCCTTTATGAATTTAATAATTTTATTGCATTTGGTACAAATGATTTTTTATAAACATTTTTTGTGGCTCTTGGCACTCTGAATCGCCGACCTGATGGAAGCACTTCGAACTGGGAGTGCAGTGGATGAGAAGGGTCACTTGTTATGTCCTGGGTTTTCTTTTTAGCGTTCAGTACATGCCTGTCATGATTTTACTCGCGGTATTGACCACTCTTGTCAGTTTGTTTTTACATTTAACATCTAAATGCCCGTACCATGCGACCATGTTAAAAGACAAAATACTTTCTATCAGATTCTTGCACACCATTTCAAGAACCTTTTTACTCACCCCAAACTCATTGAGCTTCCTAAGTAGGTTTTAGCTGTTTTAAAGACATAGTCTGTGTTATCTATGAATTTGAGGTGACTATTGATGTAAGTTCCTAAATATTTAAAGCAGTTTACCTTTTCAACAATTTCTCCCATGATTGTGAGGCATGAGTCAGAAATATTGTTTTTACTAGATATAACCATTTCTTTAGTTTTACTAATGTTTATCTGTAAAGCACTCTGTTACTCTGCATTCTCAGTGGGGGGGGGGGGGGGGAGAGCTTCCTGGTTTATCTTTTTCCTGATGTCTTGTGTTCTCCGTCAGAATGGTCGTCTCAGTAAAGAGTTGGATCTGGTCAGTCACCATGTCCGGACTCGCCTGGACGAGCTGAAGCGGCAGGAGGTTTCTCGCCTCAGGATGCTGCTCAAGGCCAAACTGGACAGCACCAACATTCAGAGTGAGTCAGCGTGGCAACATTTTCAACCTCTAAAGATACATTTAAATGAAATGTCTTTGTTGGATTATTTGATGTTTCTCTAGAGGCATGAGGAAAAACATGAAGATGCCTTAAAATCTATTGTTTAAGTATTTTTTTTAAAGAAGCTCAACTATTTATTATCTTGTGTTTAGTATATGAAAACTCACATTTTGAAAAATGCTTATGATACCTTGATGATAAGTTGTAATGTTATTACTAAATGTCAGATTCTAAATGTTGTGTGTGTACAAACCTAATTAAACAAACCATTTCCCCAAGTAGCATGTGTAAAAAATAAAACATATGGAATGTGCCAAATTCTCGTGTGTAAAATAATAAGTGACACCTCTATAATATTAACACAAAACCGGATGAGCAGGGTTAATGTTAAGGCGTATGCTTAAAGTCCAGCATGTGTTTGACGTTTTGATGTGTGTGATTTGAAGCTCTGCAGATGGACCATGCCTCTCTGCTGAAGCAGTTTGAACATCTGGATCACCACAACCAAAACTTTGAAGCCAAAGACCTGGAGCTGCTCATTTCAACAGTAAGTCTCTCATGAGATACGTATATCTGGATCCCAAAGAGTGGGGAAAAAAAAGTATTTCCCTTCAGCTGGAATATGGTTTATAGTTATTATTATGTCCAGGTTTGAACATCGGATTTGATCAGACTCGAGCAGGTTACAAATACCAACTGTTCCAGAAAAAACAACTTTGATGATAAATATTTCATTTTTTTTTTGGCTAGGCCACCAAAGACTTGGAGAACTACGACGCCGAGAGGCACGAGGAGTTCAAACGCTACGAGATGCTGAAAGAGCACGAGAGACGGGAGTACCTGAAGGGCCTGGACCAGGAGAAGAGGGAGAAGGAGGAGAAGAGGCTGCAGGAACTCAAGGAGAAACACAGCCAGCATCCCAAAGTCAACGCTCCGGTACGCACATAGGTTTTTGTTTTGTTTTTTGCGGTGGGGAACGAAGAGAATTCCACTGAAGGTCTTCTCCTCATTCATGTTTTATTTCTGCCACACACTCAGGGTAGTGTTAATCAGCTGCGGGAGGTTTGGGAGGAAACCGATGGACTGGATCCTCAGGAGTTCAACCCGAAAACATTTTTTAAACTGCATGGTTGGTGACAGCTCTTTTTTATTTAGATATCATAAGGATTACCCATTTAATATACAGTATATATGCATATGAATAAAACTCTGATATCTCCTCTGCTTTTTTAGATACAAATGAAGATGGTGTTTTAGATGAGCAGGAGTTGGAGGCTCTCTTCACTAAAGAGGTAAATGTTGTTTAAACTCAAGCTCTCCCCCTGTTTTGGTTTTAAAATGCCGTGACTGACATTGACGGCTCCCCTGACAGCATCTAACATCTGTTCTCTCCCCTCGTCCAGCTGGAGAAGGTCTACGACCCCAAGAATGAGGAAGACGACATGATGGAGATGGAGGAAGAAAGACTGAGGATGAGGGAGCATGTCATGAAGAATGTAAGTCACTTTGAACCCCCTGCTCCTGTCTTCATTGTTAGAAATGAGGCCGTTTCAGGCTTTACGTTTTTCTTGGCTTTCTGCTAATTCTGCCCGTGTTTCTGTGTTTAAAAAGGTGGATACAAATCAGGACCGCCTCGTCAGCTTGGAAGAGTTCCTCAAATCCACAGAGAAGAGGGAGTTCAATAATCCCAAAGAGTGGGAGGTAAAGAGCGTAGAGGTGGACTTGAGGTTAGAGGGAGTGGTGGCTTATCAAGGAGCGATCAGTGGTTCAAGGGTAGGACAGCCAGGGAGTGTGTGTGTGCAAAGTTTAATGGGAACTAGTTTCCTTTTTCTTATCACCTCACACACTTAAAGCAGCATCCTCAATTAGCTGCTATCAATAGTCATCAATCAGTGTTTTCATCGAAAGCACCTGAGAGTTTTGATCCCGGAAACTAATATTCAAGAAACTCAATCTGTTCTTTGACATGCACTCCTGAAAATATCAACTAAAAAAAATAAAAAATACTCATCAGCTGCAGATTTAACATCTTCCAAAGCTAACCCTCAAGTGCTCTTGTGTCAGCTCAGGAGATATTCTTGATTTTATTTTACTCTTCTACTAGCTGTAGTTTGTAGATACTTCACAAATGAAGGCAAAACCAAATATATGGGTGAAGACTTTGGAAGAAAGGCCTCCACGCCATACAGACCATTGAAGAGGATCAACGTAATAATCATCTGGGTGTAATATTGGACAGGCTTAACTGGTTTGGTGTGTACAAAACTTGTGATTCACCTCCACAAAACACCTCATTATCAACCTGCCTGCTTATTGTTTCATAAAGTAATCAAATGGAAAAGAAGGTCGCAACATAAGGTTTAAATATCAAGCAAGCTAGGTTGTTGCTGGTCCTTAAGTCAAAAGTCAGGGGGGAAAAAAATCAAATCAAATCACTCAATCAAATATCCATCCAGTTTATGAGGCATTTTGATAATCCTGTAGATTTCTGTTATTACACCATGATTACCTGCTGCCTCTCTAGACACTGGAAACCAAGCCGGCGTACACGGAGGAGGAGCTCCAGCGGTTTGAGGTGGAGCTCAGAGACAAAGAGGAGGAGCTTAAGAGGAGGGCGGAGACTCTGCATCAGGAGCAGGAACTGCTGAAGGAGAGAGGGAAAGCCCTGGAGGCCCAGAAGAAGGAGTACCAGCAGGTGAGTGTCCCTCTACATCGGACCCTGACACAAGTTCAAACGTTAATGGAATTGTATTAAATGTCCCTGATGATGCAGCGACCTGAACAGAAAGTGTTTTCCGATGTGATGTCTCGTATTTCAGGCAGTGTTAGAGATGTCACAGAGACAGAAGGATCAGCAGGCAGCAGAAGTGCAGCCCCCTGCTGGTCCGAACGGAGAACTTCAATTTAAACCAGATACAAATAAAGAGGAGGATAAAGGTAAACATCTAAGAGAAATGATATGTGCAGTAATGTCATCGTTAGTATTTTTTGAATATATTTTGATAATGAACCTTTTTTCTTCTAGAACCCGCTGGGCAGAAAGTCCCAGCTGCACCTGAAGCAGAAGTCCAGAATAACCTGCCAGCAGAACCTCCACAGAATCTGCCTATACACACTTAATGCAGCACGCTCCAACAGCCTCAACACACACACACACCCACACACACACACACACTCTCTCTCAAAGGCTCACACACTGATTGCACTGACACATTTGTCCAGATGGCTGCTAATGAGTGGAATATGTGAACTGTATGTATAAACTCAGACAGACGTGACTCATGAATCATGACATATTATGCTGTGTTTTCGTCAGATTAAAGACAAGAGATGTGGATATCATTACACTTATTCCCAGAAAATCTACAGTTTCAGGGAAATCTTCATTTCTGCCGGGTATTTCAGTGTACAATCATTAACATCTCAATAAAGTCATAATTGGAAACCACTAAGCCAGAAGCCCTGGGCTCATAGTAATTGTCTTTTCTTTTTTTTTTTTTCAACCAGAAACTTCTGCTAAAAAAAAAAAGTTAAGAAACTTTAATTTATTGTTTTCCTCTAAAACTTTAGCAATGGGTATTGTGTGAGATCGTATACCTTAGAAAGCAGTCACATAAAACTCACCCTTTCATCTTTCTTCAATCCCTGAACTCTTGGTCCAGTTTATTTCTTTGATTAGAGAAAGACATTTTGATGTCAGATGCAGCAAGCGTGTTTCCAAATGTGAAAGACAGAGCATTTAGTTACTCCTATCTTGCAGCTTCCCTATAAAAATGAAAAACAGAACTGTAGAAAAATCCTACTAAAGTGCATTTTGTAACGGTTAGCGGTCTCATTAAGATGTGTCGTATGACTTGTTGAAGTATAATGTATAGCTTGATGATAATTATTTAATAATTATTATTCAGTAGCTGTAGGGACCAGCAGTAGCTCAGTCTGTAGGGACTTGGGTTGGGAATCAGAGAGTTGCTGGTTCAAATCCCAGCACAGACCAAGTCCAGAAATTGGCCTGGTAGCTGGAGAGGCGCCAGTCCACTTCCTGGGCACCACCAAGGTGCCCTTGAGCAAGGCACCCAACCCCCCACCAGCTCAGGAGCACCCACCGCAGGCAGCCCCCTCACCCTGAGACCCCTCCATCTGTGCATGTGTGTGTATTTCAGCCTATGTTTGTGTAGCATGTTAACTAGACAGAGTGTAAAAAACACAGGATCAATAAAGTATACATTATTAATTTAAGGTTGAAGCATTACAAAGTCACAAAGTGTCACCAGGGTAACTGGTTTTCTTCACACACTGTTCTGATTTGTTTAAGTTATCTTTCCAGTGTTATGTTGTTTTGAGGTTGAAACAACAGAGGAAACACAGTTCGGTAAAAACAGATTGACAAAGAACACGTCAGAAGTGAAGTGTCACAGTGATGCACAACCAGCGTACGGTCCTGCTCCTCCTCTTCCTCCCTGTGTTTCTGCAGAATCTGTCCCTGTTGTCCACTGTCACGGCCCCCCAGGGGAACTGCTACTGATCCTTGTTGTCCTGCTGACATGATGCTCCCCTAGCTGACACTCAGGGCATTCCTATCAGCATTCCTCTGACCCGCTGACCTGTCGTGACCCCGCACGGACCCTCCTCTCCTGGTGACCCTGCAGCTGTGTGGTGTCACTCACTGCTCCCAGATCAGTCAAAGAGAGACGTCTTTAGGAAGCTTCCTGGTATCTGTAATTCATCCTTTCTTTGACACAGTCTAATTCAAACAACATTAACCAAAAGGCTCGGATTGGAAAAGAGGTAGGTGAATGTCGCTTGTTCTCAGAGAATAATCTTCGACATTAAAGAAAAGATTTTCGTACATTTTAATGTTGTGTTTTTTTGGATTATGTCCCTCAATGATACCTGCATCAATTTAGGATTCCCTTCGTGCTGGCATAGTTTGAAAAGCTGTGCATAACACAGTAGCTCATAAAAAGTGAGGGATATGATATAGAAGTCGAAGTAAATATATATTTACCCTCTACTTTCAGAAAAGAAAAAGTAAAGTTTAAGCGTGTGGTGATGAACGGACCCTCGCACCTTTACGCACCTTGGGCATAAACTAAAAGATGTGGGGTTTGTTGCGTGAGCTGAGTTTCTCTGCAGCTTCAATTGTAATCCAGTAGATGGTGCTGTCACCATACCCAAATTTATATGTATAGCTGTTCAGGCCAACACTGTCAGCATTTGAGAAATTTTAGGCACAAAGAACACTAAGTATTACTGGCTTTTACGTCTTGATAGTAGATGAAAAGTCCCCATAATTTCCATTTAAAAAAATATAATTACATTTTGAAAAAATTGCACCAAATTCTTCATTATTTCTGTCAAAAAAAAATAGCAACATATCCCAGAATGAATGGCCAAAATAGCCCATATTTTCAAATGAAAATTCTTTGAAAATTCAGACAAAATATTCAGATTCGAATTTCTGACAAAAACATCTGAAGAATATTCAAAATTGCGGATGAAATCGTCGGTTGAATTCAAAGATTTGTTGCTCGTCAGACTGGATCAACTTTCGAACACTCACATGATTTGGGCACCAGTTTACCGTTCGACTTGACATCTGAGTGCTGTGCTAGTGATGTGATGTTGGTTTGGTATGCAGATCTGTCTGTGTGCTGTATTTGGGCCCCTAGTATTCCTGCTGACAGGCAGACTGCAGCTTCGGTCCTGAACCGGCTCTCCACAGAGTCTCTTTGTGACTTCTCTCTGTTTGGGTTCAGTGGTGCTGAGTCATATAGCCGGCTTGTCTGTCCCAGTTAAGCCCCCTGCTTATGATCATTAGGGATGTCAGGTCTACCAAAAACAATAATAATACAGTAAATAATGCATATTTAAATAGTGCTTCACCTACCTTAGTAAGACTTTCAATCCAAGATTTTTACTCGCAATTCCTTATTTTTACATTTTGGTATTATCGCTTATACTGTAGTTATGTAAAGGACCACATTCTTTTTCTACCCCTCAATACAAAGATGTGCAGCAATGAGAGGTTTATATCCATAGACACATTTGATCTTCTTGTGAGCACGACACACTTAAAGTCCATTTTCGAGAAAAGGGATTCCTCTTAGCTAAACAAGACTTGCAATGGCTCAGTCCAAGATTACGCAATGAATGAAAATGTATCCAGGACTAGATGTTACCTGCTTAATTGTTCAGTTCATTCAGCTGCCTAGTTTTCAAACTAACTTCTTGTTCAACAAACAGAAGCAGTCATTTCACTGCTGGATCCCAAACATACTTTACACTCTTAATGTTGATCAGTTAAGGATTTTTTCCATTAGCTATTATTATTCTGTTCTTTTTTGCTCCATAGTTTTTTCCTGTGTTTCCTTTCTCGGGTAGAGAAACTCCATACTTTTTGTTACCTGACCAAGCACCCATAAGCCATTGCATTGCTTGAAGAAGTAGAATACATGGTAGTGAAGTCTATAATTGTATGTGGTCTATACTGCTTGTTTAATTTACACATCTTGAAACAGGGCTATGAGGAGGTGATGGAGGTGTGGTTGTGACAGTCGTGTTTCCAGCTGGTTAGTCGGGATCCAATGTGGAATGTGGCCATGTACTAAGCCGTCAGTGAGGTTGACTGATGGTAATGGAGAGGCTCACACTGGGTATTCTGGGTGTAAAATGTCAGAGCACAAAGCAATCGCAGGTTATTACACACTCACACTTAGCTGGCGGGCAGCTCCTTGGGCCTCGATCAGTCAGAGTCAAGCAGCATTGAGATTCTACCCTGCATCCTTTTTCCTCGTACGTCCTGCAAATGAAACGGTCTCCTCATGTGGGACACATGAATCAGCTGTTTGACTTGGCCCTTTAGTAACTTCAGCATCAGCGAGGAAGGAGGGAGAGGGGCCTTCACCTCCTCTTTCTCCTCGCTCTCTCTCTGAATGTTTAATCTTCAGGACATATTACCTCAGTGACCAGATCTGAGGCAACGCTCAAGATTGTTAAAAAATCCAGAGAGCAGAAACAATCAGTGTCTACTTAATGATGCAACCAAACATCAATCCTTAACGATGGAGCCATTTAAAGTCAACAAATCTCTGCCAGACTTACAGTGTGCCATCTCGTTTAACCTCTGTTAACAGAGTCCAATTGGGATTCAAGACACTGTGTTGTTGTTTTTCGCCCTTAATAGCAAACAACACTCTGAGGCCAGATAGTAGAGTCGTACGAGGCTTTATTTACTGCCTCCCAGTACCACTGGTTTCCACTCCCTGTGATTTGTACGAGCCAGAAACAAAGACGGTCATTGTGTCCCTCTGCTGTTGTGGTTTTACTACCTGTAGCAACAGCACAGCGAAACAACTAAACCACTGTTTTTACGTGATGTGTCTTCTTTAGAATATTTATTTTTAGATAATTTCCTACAAGGTTATGATATCTTCTACTCCATGAAATAGGTATTAAAGACGATCAAAGTAGGAAGTAAACATTTTGCAGGACAATTTCATATTGATATTGTAAAATTTAGATCAATGTAAATGTTTTAGATACTTTTAACTATTGTGATTTTGTTTTTGATTTTGGAGCCTGACAAAACTACGACATTTGTATTTGTCTCATAGCCTAAAACTATTTACACAGCATTGGAGTAAACAGTAGTTGTGGTAAATAAGCCATGAAAATAAATCCTTAATTCTTCTTGTGTTCAGTGATGCTCACTTGCATGCAAGTATGCAAGTATGCATGCATCAAATCATTTGCTCTTCAAAAAGAAGTCAGAAAAACAAGATCATTTGAGGCTCTGTGGCTGTTGTCAAGGTAATGGATCAAACTAGTGTGGTAATGTGGCTCCTTTAAGTCTTTCTGGAGTTCAGATTAGGTCTCACCCTCTCCCTCCCTCTATACATCCCCCCTCCTCCCCCTTGTCTCCATCCATCTGTCTACAGAACCATCAGGACGTCTAATAACCAGAACACAGGGAACACCCTAAAGTCCCACTGTTTCACTGGAGCCTTGGCTACAAGCTTCCCCTGCTATGTAAGTGTGTGAATGTGCTCTTGAGTCAGGACACGAGATTGGGGAAAAAAAGGAATCATAAACATATATGTATATTTTCATCGGAATATTTTGTATGTGGTTTCTGTAGAACACAATTTGCAGCACACAGGAAAACAGTGGATGTTGTCAATGGCTTTTAATTCCAACTGAAGCAGATTCAACAAGCAGACAGGTACAACACGATTCAGTGCCAATATTGGCTAGAGTCTTAAAAAAGTATTTGGGACTGGACAGGGGGCTCGGGCGAGGTGTTCAGAACCAGCACAAAGACGAGTGTGGTAAAGTGGAGGCTCACACATACTCATGCGACAGTTCAAAACTGGGCAACAAAACTGTGCGGGAGATGTTGGTTCTGGGAGTAGCAGATCCATAATCAGATGAACACTTTAGTGTTGTTGCGAGGAAACACAAATCAGCCAAGGGGAGAAGCAAACAGAAACTTTGAATGCTGGGACAGAACTCAAGGCCAGGGACAGAAGGCTGGGGTAATTTCTGGGATTAGGACAAAGAAGGCAGGTCAGTGGGGAGCACGGTTGTCAACAAGGATTCAGTCTAAGGTCGCTTTCACATATGAAGTCTGCTGTTCTGTCTGTTTTGGGTCATGTGTTTTCTCTAAACTATGAAACAGAGAACAGTGACTTTAATTAAAGCCTTATCTGTTTACATTATACATTTTCCCCATTAAAGTAAGCAAACGTTTAATGATTAATTGTCAAGAGTTATGTCTTTGTTATGTAACTGTGCCACAAACTGATCCAAAGACAAGAAAAAAAAAAAACGGCCCTGTCCTGCTTGCTGTTTGTCTCCTCTCACAAAGAGGAATTCACCCTTAATCCTGCAGGTTATGTGTTGGGTGTTGTCCAATAGCTTACATGTAAATCACAGCAATACATGTGCTTTTTCCTCCCGTCTCTGTGTCTAATTGTCTGCTTCCTATGTCAATCGGCCATCCGGCTGTTTCTTTCTGTGATTACAGAGTGAAAATGTCTTCAAAACATTGCCATCCCTTTGTTCGATCAAACTTTCTGAGTCTGTTTTTTTGGAGGGCGCATGTGTGGTCAGGTTGAATTGGTGGCTAGACCCCGTCACACACATTCCTTTTCATTCAGCTCGAAGAGAAAGGAGGAGAGTAGGACAAAAAGGGGTGAAAGTAAGAGTGAGACAGAGAGGGAGTGAGTCAGAGGCTGGGGAGAGTAAGGGAGAGAGAGAGAGAGAGGGAGAAGGCCAAGAGACATTTGTCGTTGAGTGGACGAGCATGGACAATCCCTGGCACACAGCTCTTTGAGTGTCATGTACACCACCCCTTCGCTCTCCCTTTTTTTGTCCCTTTCACTGCCTGCCACCCTCCCCTCGCTCTGCCGCACCCTGTGGCCTCTCTGCTGTGGGTTTGGGGGGCTCGCCCGCCTCTATAAAAGCCCTGTTTGTGCCCCAAGTGGGCTTCATTCCACATCATGGAGAGTCAGAGAATCCATTCCTCTTACAGGAAGCGTTTTGGGCCTCAGGGCTCGAGCAGCACAGGAGTCCGAATTGGGGGCCTTTCTTCCAGCCGTGCCTCCTGGCATGGCACCCCTCGCAATCTCACCCACTCCAGCCCCATATCCCGGATCTCCTTTGGCTCAACCAACACCGCCCTGCTCCTGGGGAGCTCCGGGGACCGGCTGGACTTCTCAGCAGACACCCTGATGAAGGCCCACTACAAGGAAACCCGCACCAACGAGAAGATGGAGATGATGGGCCTGAACGACCGTTTTGCCAGCTACATAGAGAAGGTGCGTCTGCTGGAGCAGCAGAACAAGGTGCTGGTGGCGGAGTTGAACCAGCTGAGGGGAAAGGAGCCTAGCCGCCTTGGAGACATCTACCAGGAGGAGCTGAGGGAGCTGCGACGGCAGGTGGACGGCCTCACTTCAGGGAAAGCTCGGCTGGAAATAGAGAGGGACAACATGGCATCAGATGTGGCCATGCTCAAGCAAAGGTATGAAGGAGCAGGGTGGGACTCCTGAGGGAGGGGGATCAGATTAGTTGTATTTACAGTCACACTATTCCACTATCCTGTTATGTTTCTCCTTTACTCTTATTTTCAAAGGATAACTCTCATTACAAGCATAATGTAAGATGTTCTGAAACTCTGACTTTTGCAAACCTCTTATTTGACATGCATGCAGACTGTGCTGATGACATTTAAGCTCATTCTGACATTTGTCTCATTGGATGTTTCTAGGAATTTCTTAAACACTATATTTTATTGTTGTACTGTAAGAGTGTTATTTTATAGTTTTAAAATATGATGAAAAAAATAGTTTGAAGTTAACATAGAGGGGAAGAGTAACAAACAACTTCCAGCCTTTAACCTTTATCAACAAATATTTTTCGATACATTTTTTCTGAAGTGTGCTTAACATCAGTAATGTTATTTCTGCACCACAGCTTCTTTACATCTCTGTGGTTAAAAATAGCAATTTCCCCTGACACCATGTCACCAATAGATTCTGCTGCAGCTCTTTGTTTGGTTATTGATTCTGCAAACTCATTATTTGAACTTTTTATTAAATAGCTAACCTATAAACAATGCGTTTAGTTTGCCAAAGTCTTTTTTCATCTTTTTCATTACGAATGCATTTATATGCAGATTTACTCTGTCTCCGATTCGCTGGAATGCAGCCCACTGTGCTCTGCCTGAGCTTTACTCCTGGATCCATCTTTACAAACTTGATCCTGACTGAACCCCTCGCAGCCTGAGCGAGTGCGGAAGAATGAGGCAAACACAATGGTGGCCCTGTATGGGAGCAAAAAGACAGGCAGATGTTCTCTTGTGTGCTGTTACCCTAAAAAAAAAAAACTCACTGCAGTCTTACAGCCATATTTTCCCACTATAGGGGCAAGCATGGCATGCATTTATGACTTAATTTAGTCAAACTCGTCCACTAAGAGGAGTGAATAGTGATAGGTGGGGCCTGGAAGGTCAAAGGTCATTTTTGTGATTCCTTCTGCTTTTCAGGAACCAACCAATTCAGCAAATGATGTTACAGATGTTAGCCCAAAGTCTGGGACATGAGGTTGTCACGCTTCTTCATGGACCGCAGATGTACTGAATGGGTGGTGTGTGTCTGAATGTGAGGCAGCGTATGGACTGTGTGTGTGTGCATGCGTGCGTGCGTGTGTGTGTGTGTGAACTCCATCCCGTGGGAAAGGCCTCTGGCTGTTAGATGTGAGTGAGAGTGTAATGATGCATAAGTTCTCCTTTCAGCTGAGCATTGGTCATCACAGAGGCACTAAGGGTATAGCACAATAACTCTCAGTTAAAAAAAATGAAGTATTTTTGGCCCCAATTATTTAGTTTTCCTTTATACAGGAGTTTCATATTCATGATAAAAAGCTGTATGCTCTTGTGTGTGCATGGTGATTTTTTTGCAACAACAAAAAAAAGCAGCAAGAAGAAAATAAATAGTAAGACATGAGAGCAAAACTGAAACTGTGTTCTGAATATTTTTTTGTATTTCTAACACACCTAGATGAGCATATCTGTGATTTTTAAACACATGTTTCCCTTCAAATGGAAACAATTTCAACATGTTGCTCCAGTTAAACCAAGCTGTAACCTCCAGTGTTGAAAAATGGAGCCAATGCATTAGTTCAAAAAGGCTGCAGTACCTCAAAGGTCCACTTGAGGCTGGATGCAACAGCTGGGCAATCCACATTAGATCCCATAATAACATGCCCATTTTTAAAGCATAAATAAACATGTTTACAGCCTGGTTAAAAAATGGCGGATATAGTCTCAACAGCCCATTTCTTAAAGCGAGTAACATTTCTTAGAAACTGATCTGGCTGAGAGCTCTGCATGAACTTAGGCTTAGCTGAGTTGACTGGCAGCTGATAGAAGGCTTCAGTCAATAATCAGGTACATAGCATGTCCAATATGGCTACCACCATCGATGGGTTTATAACGGCTCTTCAGAAATGAATAAGACGTCGCTGAGACCACACCCATGTTTTATAGTCTATGAATGCAATTAGCTAAGTTTTGCTAATCATATGTTAATCAATACTAAAAGTGTTCAAACAGTGCTGTATAAATGTATGTGTCTTGATGGATAAAAGGCAAATAAGCCATGTCGTGATTTAGCATCATCCATTGTCATCTCTGAGCTCCCCTTTTCTGTTTCAATCAGGCTGAATGAAGAGAATGGCCTCCGACAGGATGCAGAGAACAATTTGAATGCCTTCAGACAGGTACTTCTGCCATTATTTCAGTGAATTCATAAAAAAAAAAGTGTCTGTCTATAGCTTCATTTCTAAATAAGCCTCACTCTTTTCATAGGATGTGGATGAGGCTGCCCTAAATCGGGTCCAATTAGAGAGAAAGATTGATGCCCTGCAGGATGAGATCAGCTTCCTGAGGAAAACTCATGAGGAGGTAAGAATCTAAATTGAACTGTTCAAATAAACGTAACCTGTCACTGCCTTTACCTTTTACCCACATTCAGTCACCGCCTTTACATGTTTCCTCTTACATCACTCCATTTCTCCTTCCACCTGCTCAGGAGCTGCGTGAGTTGCAGGAGCAGATCGTGGCCCAGCAGGTGCATGTGGACCTTGATGTGTCCAAACCAGACCTGACGGCTGCTCTGAGAGACATCAGGACCCAGTATGAAACCATGGCAACCTCGAACATGCAGGACACCGAGGAGTGGTACCGCTCCAAGGTCAGAAGACTCCCTTACGTGTCACTTATGTAATGTAATAACAAGTAATCACACTGTCTGTAATTGGACTAATAGGGCAACTGTGATGACATCACATATACTCACAGGCTGTTTGTCTTTGTCAACAGTTTGCTGACCTGACAGATGCAGCCAATCGTAATGCAGAAGCCCTGCGCCAGGCCAAACAGGAGGCCAATGAATACAGGCGTCAGACCCAAGTGGTGACCTGCGATCTGGAGGCCCTCCGTGGGACAGTAAGTCCACAAAAAAATACACAGAAAACACAACAGTGTATATATTATATATGCAAATTAAAGGCTATACTCCAAAAAATAATTGAAAACTACATCAGAAACTTTAAGAAATGACTCTCAGCTGAAACATGTTTACATCGCATAAACAAAATTTTAAAAAGTAGCAATAACTTTTGCAGGAAAATGTGTCATTGATATGTCTTTATATTGTAAGTGTAATTTCTAAATACATTACAATAACCATGCCGCTGGTTTAAGAGATGCAAAGATGGAAGAACAGCTAACTGTAAAGTTTTGTTTTTGTTTTTTTCAGCTAACTGTCAAGTAAAACGTGTGTTTTTCAGCAAATATTTCAGCCTAAATTAGACACTAATACTGCAACACTGATTGGTGGTAATTTTAAATGGAAGCCACCTGTTAACTGCTGCAAATAATAGTGAAAATTAAGCTTGAACGTTAGACATGTGCATGTGTCACAATATTCCCAAATCTTTAGGTTCAAGATATCATCAGGACAGCATTAGCTTATTTGGCTGACCATTTACCACTTACCAAGATTAAAGCTGTGCTGACATTTTGGGTTAATGTAAGTTATCGTTGTCCAGCAGCACTTTACAAATAAAAAGTGGACTACAATGGAAAAAGCGAGTGTACACTGTTTATCAAATATGAATGTAAACACCTTAAAACTTCATTAAAGCTGACTTTAAACTGTATCACCAATTTTATACAAGTACACTGTACTATATAGAAAAAACGTGGTGTAAGCATTATAATGGTTTAAAAATAGAGAGGAGAACTATTGTAGCAGTTGTGTTTATGGTGAGCAGTAATAATACATGGTAGATAGTATCATCACTAGTAGAAGGGGTAGTCGCTGCAGTAACAAAAGTATTGAAACAAACTGTCTTATCAGCAGAAAAGGCTTTCAAGTAATAATATTGGCCTTTATACTACACTCTGCTACATTAGATGTTTGCTGTCCGTTACTGGGTCTTCAGCTTAAGCTTTAGCGTGCATACGTCTCTTCTTCCCTTCTTTGAGAACGAGTCTCTGGAACGCCAGCTCCGTGAGATAGAGGATCGCTTTGCCATGGAGACTTCAGGTTACCAGGATACAGTGAGCCACTTAGAGGAGGAGATCCACGCCCTGAAGGAGGAGATGGCGAGACACCTGCAGGAGTATCAGGACCTGCTCAATGTCAAACTGGCTCTGGATATCGAGATTGCCACCTACAGGAAGCTGCTGGAGGGAGAGGAGAGCAGGTGTGCCCGAGTTTGGAAGACAAATGTGTGTTGAGATAGTAAATAATTATGAACTGATATTGTTCCCTCTCTCTTCCTCTAGGATCACCATTCCAGTTCAGAGCTTTTCCAACCTGCAGTTTAGAGGTTAGTATCAAAAATGACCTCATGTTCAATTCTTTGAAATGATATTTCAAGTAAACAAGCAAAGACTCGAGAAGTGGACTTGGCCACCATGACTGCAGCACTACACTGTTTTATGGACTTTTGTTTAAAGCTTTGTCACTTTGGTCATTGTCATTTTTGATTTATTTTTTGCTAAATCCAGAAGTGATGAAGCCTATTTGGACAAGTGGGTAGCGCTGACCAGGAACAAAGTTATAAGACACTAAGTTATGAGCTAGCTTGGTTAGCAAGCTGTACCTGTAATAAAAAAAATTAAAAAAAACTGTGTAAGAGATAACCGGGATTTTCCTAAGCAAAAAATGAAAAATAAAATGATGACTAAGAAAAATGACAAACAGAATAATTTTCTCATAGATCTTTAAAATTACATTTTTTTAAAGAGTCACACATGTTTTCCACCTTTCATTGTCCATCACTTATTGTCAGACACAATGCTTGATGGCAGGGGGGGAAATTCCTTTGATGGAGTAAAATATTGGATTGTTGAGGTACAATATTGTGCCTTCTCTCTGCTTATACCGATATTTCAGAAACCAATCTGGACACTAAAACCCCAGAGGCCCATGTGAAGAGGAGTATCCTGGTTCGAACTGTGGAGACTCGAGATGGGGAGGTACAGCATGTGCTTTTAAAGAACAACTCACTCACTCACTCACTCACTCACTCACTCATACAAAAGCAGCTGATCTGCACATGGACTCTATTCCCTCCGGGGGGCAATGTTGAACCCTTCTGCAGATTTTCAACCGTATTCATTGTAGGCCAGCACACCTGATGCCCAATGTTGGCTAATCAGTCACAAAAGATGTATCTATTCTTTTGTCTATTTAACTCTCACCTCTTTTCCTTTCAGATCATAAAGGAGTCAACAACTGAACATAAAGATCTTCCTTGAAGTTATACAACCAGAAATCTGAAGACTTGAATGCTTCTTACATTTTTTTTTTATTTCCATCCCCCAAAGCTGCCCCAAACAGTCATCACATTATTCAGTGTTACCCTTTTTTTTTATCAGAATCTGCATGCTAATAAGATAACTACCCTACAGCCATGATTTAACCATTAAACACAGCTTGACTCACTCATTAGGATGACTCTAAAAACATACAGTACGTTTTTTGACTTGAGTTGGGTGCAGGTTGGTCAACTTTAATTTTAAACTTGATTGATGGACCAGATTTTGTAACATCGTTTCAGATTAGTTGCCATAGCCGAGGCCTTGAAATGTAGCAAATTGTGTTCATCTAATATGTAGCGTTGTGGAGGTTGACATATGGTATTTGTGTATGTGAAATGAGTAATAGTAAGTATAAGATGGAGGATGCGGTTTCAGATAGTTAAAAACAGGGATTGAGACATGTGTGTGTGTATTATAGAGCACCTTTTGGCAGGACAGCAGGTGACGTTGGACGTTTGAATGTGTTTAACCCTTGTACGGTGTCATTTTTAATTTCATACATTTGTTGTAGCCACCTAATCTGTCTGTGTGTCTCGTCTTGTATTAAAAATCCTTTATGACTGCTCAGGTGTTTTCGACTGGTGCATTACTGTCTCACATCTGACCGACAAGAAGTGTGCGCACACATTACTTCTCTCTTTCTTTTTTTAAGATCTATTTTTGGGCTTTTTTGCCTTTATTTAGAGAAAGGACAGTGGAGAGAGTTGGACATTGGGGGAGAGAGAGAGAGAGTGGGGACAGACATGCAGGAAAGGAGCCACAGGTCGGATTCGAGCCCTGGCCACCAGCTTGGAGGACTCTGGCCTCCGCACTAACTATAGGCTATCGTGCCCCATTTACTTCTCATTTTTTAACTCCCCTTAAAACCTTCACAGCCTGCTATGTCTGCTTTAGAAGGGTAACCAGAAGACAAAAATGAAATCTAGTGTAACAACATAACTCTAATTTAATGATCTGTGGACATTGTGATCAGAAACTTGGCCCCAAAACACATTGCCATAGCAAGCAAAGTGCCATAGAAAGCAAAATAAGTAATCAAGAATCAATCAAGATAAATAGTATGACACAACATTTCACCAATATCGGAATTTATGACTTCAAGTTCCATTCTTAAACGTCTGAATTCTGTCTAATACATAGACTGTAAATATTACTAATCAATCAGTCTAATATCATTTAATAGTCACAATGCAGTGTTTCTTTGTTTTACCTTAAAGCATCCATGTCTAGATTTTTGTATGTGATCAACTAAGAGGGCAGTGACCGTGGCAACCTTTACATTGAGGACACATGCATATTGTTCGTAAAAAATTGCAACAGTACATTAACGAGAGCAGGATGCGAGGTCTTATCAGTAAACGACAAGATTTTACTTTGTGCAAACAGAAAAATGGTGGTTTCCTCTGTCACTTGAGTGCATCCTGAAATGACCCCATCAATTTTTTTCTGACACCAAGACATGTCAGGGCATGTTTTATCATTCTCTAGCAGAGGCGTGAGGGACATAGCCAGTTTGGAGGTGTTGGAAGAGGTGTTTGGGGACTGATGTGACCCTTTGCCCATCTTCCATGTAATCCACTGACATGTTTGATTTACAACAGACAGAAGGTGGAGATAACCTCGAACAAATCCCGCGACACAAACCTGCACAAGAAACACTATAGTGTTGTTCTGATTTTATTTTGAAAGGGAAGATGCTGGGGTGAAAAAAAAAAAAAACGGAAAGAGGCTGGAGGACAGAATGGATGGATAGATGTGATAGCTAGAACACAATAATCGCAGCTTCTCGCTTTGCAGGCTGTCAGTGGCTCTCCTGGCAGTCCCCCCCGCTCTAATGAGAGTTGTGCGACGCCAAAGATGCCTGTTGCTGCGCTTGTCACCAAGGACACACATGTGAATTTAGTGTTCCCATGTGCCTCCCACCCACCTTCTATCCTCTGCAACGCCCTCCCCCCCCGTCACTAAACCCCTTCCCCCGTTTCTCTTCTAACATTCAGCCCCAGTTTGTATTCACTGTCGTTCTTAGAATGATAAAGACAGCTGAATCCTGCTTTTTTTAAAGAAGCCGCTGCATCTGTGAATATAACATTAGTTTTTACCAATGCTACATGCTATAGCAGCTTGTTAAATTACCAACAATAAAACCTTTTGTTGGAGTTGATTCTTTCTTGTTTTAGTCGGAAGTCGTGTTTCTTTAATCGTCATTTAATTGCGACACATGCCTTCACTGATCAGGTTTTATTCCACTGAAATGTTATGACAGCTAACTTGGGGGTGTTAGAGGTTTGACAGCAGTGGTCAAACACTGTTCATCAGGACTGATTGCTGCTGACCATTGGCTAGGCCCCACTGTTGAGCAGATGGGTGATGATGAGTGTTACCGAACACAGGATGTACATGGGCAGGGAGAAAACTGCCAAGGCCAAAAACAAGTAACAAAAAACTTGACATAAATATCACGTGTGTTCTGTTTTTCACACTTTCGTTTGATCAGTTTTGATTCAAAAGAGACAGAAACATTATCACATTTCAAGGACAGTAATTCAAGATTAAAATTTGTTGTATACTCATGTATGTTTTTCAACATTTTTTGAGGTCAAAGGAAAGAGCCACAATCTTTCAGGTGTAAATTAACAGTGGGGGAGGAAAATTACCAGTTAACAAATGAAAAAAAATATTAAGGTAACGTTTTGACTCCTCACCACAGCTCCTCAAGGGCCCACTGTCTGAGGAAACACAGAGGCAGAGGTGTAGGTATAGGCAACTGCTTGGGACCCCAGGCTTGTACCCCCCCCCCCCCCTCCCCCAAGGGCTGACAAACTTTGAACCAAAGCAGTGGCTCAGAATGTGCAAGTTGTACAATGACAGTAGGACACCTCCAAAATGGGACCCTATCTGACAATATTCAATGTTGTTCCAATATTCCTGTTAAAACTCAAGTTGGTCACTTCAAGTTGCCGTTGGTGACAGAATTTTGAAAAACATTTTTACATAATGGCTATTAAACCCTAATTTGACTGGATTGCATCCCTTTCAAACAAAATACTTTTTAATAGGTTGGTAGGGAGGAATGACAAAAAACAAAGTTTGTTTATTTGCTTTACACTTTAAAAAATACTTCAAGTTTTGCAATATAATTGGGGAGGATGCTTGGAAAGGTAGCTCAAAAAATATCTGAATAAAGAATGAAAGCACATGTCTTAGAGTAGAATAGAAAATTGAAAACATATAGGATATGGCTTAAACTAGAGTAAAAATGTGTATTTATTCTGTAAACTAAATATCAATAGAAGCATGGGGACAATTATTATAGCATAACTAAAACCAGATATGAAGTCCGGTTTCACTCCGAGATTGAGAGAAATGCACTTATGATTTGTGTATTGAAGTGTGTTTCAGTTACTTGAGGTGTGTAAAGTACAGAGAGTATCTGTTTAGCCTGGCTGCTATCAGAAGAATGGATGGTCTCTGGTCTGCACCGAAAGGCGACTCTGAGCTGAAGGAATTTCAGGGGAGATAAGAGTCCGCTGTGACGTCTGACTCTCAAACAATTTCCCATCAGTGCTGTTATATGGAGCAAAGAAAACAGCATTTGCTCATTATCTTTCCATAGCTAGTGTCAGGTGACAATCTGTCATGTAGACTTAAACATGGAATTCAAACACCAAAATACTTTAGGCTACTTTTTGTTAAAATACATGTGCATTCAGTGTTTTAAGTGTTCTCTCAATTCATACTTTTTCTCAATAAGTAATGCCTTTGTGCACTAGAACGTAATGGAATTTGTATATATATATTTTTGTATATGAACTCATATGTACATGCATTTGGCAATCAAAGCTATTCTAATTGTGTTTGCAATGATATTTCTTGTCAACATTTAGTGTATCAAAAACGTAATCAATTAATGGAAAAGCATGCTTAATCAATAACTTTATATAACTATTGTGACAGTTTGATAGCTGATTATGGAACTTTCCAGGTGTGCTTTTTTCCTGTAAAGTTAAGAAAGTGGCAAGACAAAAAACATTATAGAAAAATCCCAAATATGCGACTCAAACCCTTTACTGGGCTTACACCTGTAGTCAAATATTTTCACACCAATCTTTGAATTTGACAAACAAAAAGACAAACAGACCAAACACATATAGGTCAAGGTCATAAAAATAAAGTGTTTTCATATCTATGAGGACATTTCTATCAGGACAAAACCATTGGGATGCTCTACAGCACTGAACACAGTAATAAAAGAGTTTAACTTACAAATATGATGTAGGGTAGCAGCTCGTTGTCTCTTGCAAATGCACATTCCCGCCTCACACGGTTCTCACACCAAGGGGTCATGGGGAGGCATGCTCCTTGGTTATTTTTAGCTCTAAATTATCAAAGCTGTTGAGACAGAACACAGAACAAGCACCTCAGCCTGTCTGCTGAAGCACAGAGCCACATACCCTCTGATCTCCAAACACCTCACAGAAGGAACATCTATATAAATAAACTCGGGTTTATGGTGACCACTTTTCCCAAAAGAAAGTGGAGCTGAGACATCGTAGATGGAGAGGTCATAAACCTGCTGATTTAGACTTATTAATTATTATTATTATTATTATTATTATTATTATTATTATTATTATTATTATAATAACAATAATAATAATAATAAGAGAAAGAAGAAGTAGGACAACAAGAAGAACTTTTATGGCGCACTCACACCAGGCAATCTGTACTGTGCACAAGAACGCTTCACCTCTAAAGTCCAGTTTGTTTGACTAGTGAGAGTACTCCGATCCTTGGCCCTGAAATAAATAAATGTATAAATAAATAAATGTGGAAATAAATAAATGTAGAAATAAATTTAAGACATTTAAATATTTATGTCCCATTTATTTACCAGTTTTTATTTATTTTCTCACACATTTATTTATTCATTCTTTTATTTATTTATTCCAGTATTTATTCATACATTTATTTATTTATACTTTTGTCAGGTCTCGTCCTCCATACTGACACGCTTGGAAGAGGTGTGGCTCGGCATGGTACCTTTAATGCACCCTCTACCCTCTGTACCCATCTGCACTCTCCCTGCCTTCAGTCTCCTTCAACATGACTTGATGCAGGCCTCATTCCAGTGTTGTAGTTGGAGAAACTTTAAGTAGCAGGAAGTGAAGCCAGTGAACATACCTCCCAGCAGTAAACATCACTCAGCTGGTCAATAAAACCTGTCTGTGGCAGCTAAACAAATCTAAAAATGTGCGAATCTAACAAATAGTCTCGGACCTCCTTGAATACTCTCCATGTGACCTTTAAATAGGTATACAATTGAAACTGTGGCTTGAATGTCTGCTCTGTCTCTAAATACGAAGTGTGTGCCAGCTAAGTGTCCCCAGTTTTGGTTCAGAGATTTCATTAGCATCCAGGTGAAAATACAAGTTGTTAAAGCTAAGTTGCATGTCTTTTTGTATGTTGCAAGTTTGAATTAATGATATTTACTGCTCAGTTCTTTGACGATAAGCTTATATGGCTGTAAAGCCATATAGCTTCTCTTCTCATCTGGCCGTATTTTGG